TCATCAAACAGCCCATTGTGCCAGCAGTTAGCAAGCATGGTCAAAGTTTCCATTGACAAGAGGAGAACAACCTGACACTACCAGGTACATTTGTTTCCCAGAAACACACAGGTAGGAGCTGCGCAAATATGGCACGGCTTTGTATGTGACTGACACAACAAAGCCGTGTTGTGTCAGTCATAACAAGGCTTTGTTGTGACTGACACAACAAAGCCGTCTCAATTGTTCTCTGAGATCACTGAGAACAATTGAGACTCAGGCAATCATTGTTACTTACGCCAACGTGGACTGGTTATAAAGAATCAACTAAATTAGAAACGATGTGAAGGCAGAGAGCCAGATCAAGATAATAAACCTTAGACCATATTTGTTTGCTCACATATCCAGCATCGGAAGCCAGCATTATTACCTTACAGCCTACTGCCAGCAGCCCATTCAGCAGCACAATGCCTGCTACGGTCGCTATGATGACTTTGGGGTGGTCGTCTCTGAGTGCAGGCCAGAAAGTCATCACCAGTACTGAGCTGGACAGGCAGAGCGCCACCACAATGGAGAGCCACCTCAGCCACTCAACGTGCGGAATCCACAGGACCTGGTATTGAAACAATTTGTGTCAGAGTTATGACATACAGAAATATATTTCCTCAAAAGCTGTCATGGCATCAGTGAAAAGTATTAATTTTTTAATTACTACAAGTTTATTGTTAACAAATACAGCTTCTAAATATTCAACCCTAACCTTCTCATGTCTTCTGCTTTCTGTTTAAAACTTATGCAGCTACAGTGCCTTGCAAAAATATCCACACCGCTTCAAAGCAACGGTTTACGTAAAAGCAAGGAGTGATTTGGGCTGATCAGATAAGAAAAACCTTTTCAAACCATCAGGAAGGTTTATTTGCATTCAACTGATTTGAGCATGTTGATGTGTTAGAATGGCCAAGCCAGCAAACAGATCAAAATCCAAGAAAGAAGCTGTCGCTGAAAATAGAAAAACAATTCTTAAAACTTTGTGTAAATGTATCAACTCAATCTCTTGAGGTTGTTTGTTGAAATGTGACATGAAGCTTGAGAAAACTTATGCAAAGCATTGCATAGATAATAATTTTTTTAAATAATATGATTCACTAAAGCATTAGAAGGCTCAATTTGTTGCAGAACAATGTCAGTAGCATAATTAACATATTTATAGGACTTACCACAGCTGGAATGTAAACTGCCAGCGAATATCCGTAGACACAGACAATCTCCATAAACGAGTATGACACCAAGTTCAAGATTTTATTGCTCCTCCACAGCAGCAAACCCCAGAGTCCAAGCGGCACAAGCCACGCATAGCTGAAGATGGCCGTGGCAGCTATGCTCACTGGAAAACACGTACGGTGCAAGAGGTAAGCTGGACGTTTATCAAGCATGTTTAGCGTCAATTGAACTGAACTCACCTTTTCCAAACTCTGCGGTATATTTATAGTTTGAGTTGCCAAAGTATCGCAAGAAAGTAGATAGGTTTCCACTGATAGCAATGGCAAACACAAGGGTGGTACAAATCCAGAATGGTCCTACAGACACACACATACTTATATTTAAAGCATCATTATTTACAACTTCAATGTGTTATGAATAGTAAAAGGAAATAAATCAGCCTACCACCACAAATAATCGGTGACAACAACTGTGCAAACTAAGTCAGAACTAACCATAAAGATCTGGGTTTTTACGAAGGTGAACTTGAATGAAGTTTTTTCCAGGCCACGGCACCAGTGAGCCAAGAATCCTCTCCCTTACCTAAAGAAAGAGTTAAAAACACGTCAGATTTCAACCAGGTTTGAGATACATTTGCTCTGAAGTAATTAATCTGATGATATAAACTGAGACAGGGACGAAACAAAGTGACTTACATGATGGGTTTCAATGTCAAAGAATTTCTGGTAGTATTCAAATGTCCAGAAAGGAGCATTTTTATTTTTCCCAGACAGAAGCTTGAATAAAAAAAAAAAAAACAGTTATCTAAACATCTGATTTATACACATTTCAAGAAGCAAATAACTTTCCAATAACAGGGTCATGGTCTGACCTCTTCTCTGTCCTCACTGATGAGTGGTTCTTCATCACCAACATCTTGAGCAAAACCAACTGCACTTCTTTGCCTCTTGGATTTTAAATCCTCATCGTCAATGCTAATGGTGACTGCATCTCTGTTAGATTCCAGAAGAGTCCCAGCTTCATCAAATTCTGTTAGATGGGACAGATGTTAAGTATCTGGATCAATGTGTTTGTTCTTTCAGGAAAGTGTGTACCTACTAAAACTTGCTCATTTTGCAGATCATCATTCATTCATGAAAATCAATACGCACATTAACATACAAAATGTCAGGACAAAATGACACCATGGACTGATAAATTGATGTACTGTAGTTTTTGAGTTATAATTAAATATTGCTACAAAATAGCGTGGTGTGTGGTTGTACTCAGGTAAAGTTAGACTGAATTAATATATAAATGCAGGCCACACTTTTGTGATTTTTGTAAAGAAATATTAGAACCACGTATCCTCCCACTTCAAAATTAAGCACTATTTTTTGCTGCTCAGCCACACACTCGCTACAAAAAACACACTAGTTTGTGATTGCGTCACAAAATGTGAAAAATCGTGGGTAGCTCTTTAAATCTTTATTTATTTTGACAAAAATTCTTATGAATTTAACTATCAAATCTATGTAAAAATAGACACCTACTTACTAATGTGTTATATCTATAAGACATTAAATTTTGAGAGACAGTTCAGGGAGAACGTTCACCTTGAAATTGAAATGGATCATTTTTCGACGCCATTCCCTTGTCAGTAGAAATGTTTGTTCTTTGAGAATCTGCTGGCAGGCTGGCAAAGAGGCAACAAATTAATCCTAAAAGCTGTGAATGAAAAAAAGAACATGACTGTTGACGTTTTACATCTGTTGACTCCAGGTTAAATGCATTTTTAAAACTATAGATACACAATAACTTAGGAAGCTAGCTTACTTAGGAACCAATTTCGACTGGTAAACTTCAATATATCAGTAAAATAAATAAATAAACTCCTATTACTATTGTAACTGTGAAATACAGTATAAAGGTGTCGATTTTCTTAAACCCATGCTTACCAAATTCTGCGAAAAATTCGTAAAAATTATGTCATCGTTATTAGCTAGGGAAACCCGAAGCAGGATATGCCAACGAGGTAAACATGACTCGTTCCTGTGGTGAGATATTTTCAAAATAAGAGTTTAGATACATGAATTTGGCTATGTATTTAGCGGACATGGTGAAATAACAGTTATCATAACTGTAAAATATTTAATTATAAAAGAGTAATGTAAACTGAGGTGTGTTTTTGGCATATATCCAGATCTACAGAAGGACTGCTATTAGTAGACTCTTACTCTGAAGTTTGAATGAAACAATGGTACGTTGTAGTGTAGGTCACAGAGTCCGCCATATTGTGGGTGGAAAGTAGCCTTGGAAAACGACACAAATGTTATTAGAAGTGTAATTTCCAGAATAAAACTATACAATGTTCATCAAATTGATTCATATATATTATATATTTAATTTACATCTTAGTACTAATGTTGGTTATCGTTTAGAAAAAGTAAACAACAAATGAAAATCAGATGTTCTCATCTGTCAGTTAAAATTGACCAACTATTACCTCTGAAAATACCAAACCAACATTTATCTCAGTTAATATGTTTTCGATATTGCAGCTAAATACTATAGTCAACCGTTTTTTATTATAGACATGTGATCTTTAAATATTTTTCTTAAGATTTTACTATTTATAATATTTTTGGTTTATTGCCTTTACTGCTGATGTGACAGGGTGAAACTCTTCCCCTGCACTGGTGATTGTGGGACATGGCCAAGGCCCTTTAAAAAAGCTGTGGGTAGACAGCTGAGCAGAAATGTTGGAAATGTGATCATAACAAAGGAGTTATAAGGTATTTGGGGATGATTAATATAGCATGGAGTAAAACTCTAATAAGATCCTCGGTTATTTGAACTCTCTATTGTAAATTTAAGGATTAAACAGCCAGTAAATTAGTTAGGGAACACAGCAATAACTATGGTTACAGAAACTTCAATGACATTGCATAATTAATAACTTATAAAGTATTTAAAGGACACAAAGTTAGCTGAGAGAATTTATTTACTTTTTATTTACTTTTTTTTATAAAGTAAAGGCATTTGAAAGCTAGGATTAGTTAAATTTGACCTCAGTCCGGTTGATGGCGGTAATACACTGAGATTATAAACTGCCAATGTATGGCGTTCCATTTGTGTCAAAAATATGTAGAAGTCGTGTAGATGTTGGTCTATGTCGTTGCTGCGTCGTGGTTATTACTCACTGTCATCTTGTCAATTCATCTGCAGTAAAGCAGTGAACCACTTGCAGTTATTTTTTTATGTTACTCCCCCCTGTTGTTGGTTCAAGTAGTTGTCTGAATTTCTTTAACTTCTGTGATTGATCATCGACCACCCCCTCCCGCTCTCTCCTCAAACGAGGTTCACTTAGGGACTGCCAACAAATGTCCTAACCAAACACTCCTGACAAACAAATGTAAATACATGCCTTGCCTTGTGACGAACTGACACAGAAAAGTCGTAGTTATAGGGTTACATGAGACACACTATTCTCTATTGAATTTTTAAGTCATATTCAATATTTTAAATAATTTTAATATTAAATAATATCATGTTTTCTTCAATAGCTTCCAAGTCATGTGCTCCATTGACTCAAAATCAGTGTGAAATTGTTCTTCTAAAGCAGGGGTGTCAAAACTCCAGTCCTCAAGGGCCACTGTCCTGCAGTTTTTAGATGCGCCACAAGTACAAAACGCTGGAATGAAATAGCTTAATTACCTCCTTCCTGTGTACATAAGTTCTCAAGAGCCTTGCTAATGACCTAATTATTCTATTCAGGTGTAATGCAGCAGAGGCACATCTAAAAGTAGACCAACAACATCAACACATGACTTCTACTTATTTTTGACACAAATGGAACCCTTTCATTTTTGACACAAATGGAACCCCATATAAATATGGCGGCGAAGCGACGTAGAAGCCTCTTATGCGTTTGCTCTTCTAATGTGTCTATGCTCTATGATAGCAAAGGGATCTGATCATGCCTGTGAAAGCTGCATACTGGTCGTGAGGAATCTAACATACAATACTGAGAATGATGACAAGGTGTAGCTGGGAATACCTCGAACACAAAGGAGCTTCTTTGTTTATGGTTTAAGCTAAGCTAATGACCCTCTGGGGTGAATTTGTGATCTACTTAAGAGTATTCAAATCTGGTGTTAAGTTAAGAGACGTTTTTGCGTGTCTGTAATGGACAGCAGCAACATTTATGTTCGAGAAAGAGGCAACCTTCGTCGTGTGAGTGACATTATTCTGGCACAACCAAAAACACCACCGTCATCATCATGCAGGAGGACGAATCCGTTTGTGCTGAGGAAGGAGCATTTCATTTTCACCTACAACGAGGAAGGAAGTCTGAGATACACCACTAAATCCCTCTTTGACATCACTCTGCTGTTCGTTACTGACAACATCCAGCATGTGGACTCTTTGGTTGGCTTCCCAGAGCAAATAGGCGACAGACTTTTTGTGGCAGCAGAAGAGAACCGCGTGTTTTTAAACCCAGATATTTCTCAGAAAGCCTTGAAATTATTCAGTGACGCATATGGAGATTTGGTGCTGGGCTCACTCTGTCTTAGAAACAGGTTGGGGTATATTGTTATCTCCTCACCTCCATGCCTCTCTGCCTCTTTTTGCCGTAGATAGCAGCCATTCATGTCTGCTTTTCTTATTCTGCAGGTTTCCACTCCTGCATGAGCGGATCACCGAGATAAAAGCATTTCATAGTTTAAAGTCTCTGGATTTGTTTGGCTGCAGACTAGGAGATGATCATGAGCTGTTCCATCACCTCACTTCCACGTCACTGGCGAAGTAAGGCTTGGCTCTTTTGGATGCACTAAGCAGAAAAGATAGCATTAACTCTGAATCCTGTCTTCCATAGCAGCCTGACTCGGCTGTTTATTGGTGGCAACCATCTGTCAGATGTTGGCCTGCAAAGATTGACCGCGCCTGTCCGGGTGATGCAGAAAGGACTGGACTCCCTGGAACTCCTGGATGTTTCCTGTCCGTAATTTCAATGGAGTCTGGTGAGCACCAATTGCAAACATAAACTGTATAATATTATAGATTTTTTTTCTTTCTTATACAGGCAATCCCCTCTCAGAAATGGCTTTGAGATACCTTACCTGTCTCCCAAAGCTGGTGAAGCTTGATGCATCTGGGACCAACATGAAAGTAAGACGAGAAGAGTGTGTCATGAAAGATTCATACCACATTCTGTCATGTTATAACCACAAACGGTGTATTTGATTTGGATTTTATGTGACAGACCAACACAAAGTAGAATGTACCTGTAAAGCTCAAGGAAATGGATACCTAGTTTTACATTTATTTTACAAATGAAGTTGGACAACTGTGGCCTACATTCTCTTAAAGCACCTTTCACTACTACTATAAATTCAAGTAGCTCCTTGAAATATAACTTTTTCAATTATCAAAAAGCTGAAAATGTCAAAACCAGGGATTAGGGTAGATGATGTAAGACAATACATCTTGCTTAACGGGCACGATTTGTGGTGTATTATACTTATCTGGGTATTTTTTTGTTTTGTTTTGGGCCTGGGAATAACTTATCGTTTATATATGAGCTTGGCACAGGATTGAAGACAACCGTGTGGAACTTATTAGGGCTAATTCATTCGGAGAAACCACTGAACACCTTTGATCACTCGGGGTGTAAAACAGAAGGATGGGCAGAACAGGTAATCAATTTTAGCCAATACCAGGAGAGCAGATAATTTGTTTCAATAAGCAGAATCATTTATCCACATTCATCTTCTTTCCAGGTTGTAAATCAGTGGGAAACGAGTGGCTGCCAGACGCCCAAACCGAAGAAAATGGAAGAGTCAAGGGCCTCAGCACTTCGCTTCTGTAAGTCTGTTACATTTTTCATTTTAATTTGTTAATTAATTTACAAATTGAGTGCTGAGGTGTTTTTTTTTCTGTAGTTGGCAGACAAAAGTTTGTCAGAGAGGTACTGAATGCAGCACCACTGGTCAGTGAGGATGGCAAGCAGACCAATATGGAGAAATTACACTTCTACAAACCAACAGGAAACAATCATCTGTGTGGGAAAATGGATCCATCCACAACAAAATGTCTCCAAGCTAGGAATCCCACCTGTAACGTTGCAAAGACGAAGCAAGAGTCAAGCAAGTGTGACGCTTCTCATCAAAGCCCTCCGACTAAGACAAAACGCTCATCCTCATTAGTTCTCACAGCAGAGGACACGGAGTTGTTGAACAGCTATTGAATAATGGAATCCTCTGGGCAGCATTCCAAAATAATCAGACATGGGAGCGGCAGTCAACATGCTGCATTCACACAAACTATTAGCAGTTCACATATACGTAACAAAGGAAGTGTTTTGGCTTTATTTTTTATTTTATTTTTTTTAAGATGAATAAAATTTTGTATTTTGCCAGAGTGCCTTTTTTTTCTGCAGCTTTTAACTTACTACACAATGTACTTTAATAATCATAAAACTGAGTATCAAGTTATATGCAAGTTTCCTGTAACTCACACAGTAACAAAACCCATATGTGTAGAATTCCTCACTGACATTTTCTATATAGACGATGGACATTACCTACTGTAAGATGATCATCAAAACTTTTGTAGGATGTTTTACCCCCAGTATTCTTGCACATATTTTATGCCAGACCTACTTTTCCTGAGCTCTCTGTTTTTGGCTGATTTGTAGAGTACAAATTTAAACTTTCCCTACTAATTCACCAGTTCTGCTTTTAACTGTCTGCTGCAGAGTCGATATCGTCATCCTTTCTCTTCCGTAATTTACCAAAAGGTTAAAATATGATTCTAATTCAACAATTTCACAGTTGTATATTTTATTTGTATTTATTACCAAGGAAACAATCAGAGCAAGAAAGACTTAACTGCATGTACCATTTCATTTAATTAGGAGCACATACTTTTACTGTAAAATGAATCAGGATGTTGCAATACAAACATTAACAAAGGGGGATTTGGGTAAAAACTTGCATCACTTCAAGTCAGTTCATTACATTCAATAAAAACACAGAACTAATGCACACTTGCAGGAAAAAAAAACAACCCCTAAAACATTTTATTCCTTTATTACCCTCAATATACTTTAACACAATTATACCAATATACAGAAAGTTTTAATTACCCAAATGTCAGGTTTAAATAAAGCAGGGACAAACCAGTTAAACGTAAATGATCTGAAAGTTCTGCTGAGACCACAACCAGCTCAGGCCTTAAATTGGAGATTAAAGAAAAAACAAAAAAAACAGAATATCAATGATCAATAGGAAAGTTTCCTTTAGGATTGCTGTCTTGTTTTCTAGATGTTGGACTGTCCCAGGTTCACCTTGGAAGGAAGTGGCCCCGCTTCTTCTTCTGGCCCTTTGGAGGTGATGATAATCAGAGAGGATGCTGGGTAAGGAATCAGTTTCTGCTCTTTGATGTAGTCCTTGTCCCCATAGATGCTCAATTTCTACAGGAAGAGGAAAACAAAACGGAGTCTTTATGCATTCAGTCTGCATGTTAAGCTAGTCAGAACGGCTGCAGGTTTTACAAAGACATCTCGACATGTATCCATACTCCTTAAACTTTTCACATTTTGTTATGAAAACTGATATTTAAAAAGGACAAAATGAAATGTTGAAGGGGCAACAAGTGCATGCTTTTAAGTAATGTGTCACAGAAACATTTAAGTAGTAAGTATAAGCTCATAGTCTATAATTTACAGTAACATCTGAATGTTGAACTGCTCTTGAATACTGTAGGTTTTACTTCATGTTAATCTTCAAATGTTTCCAGAACATTTGAACAGTTTGATGTTCCAGAAAACCTTCAGGTTTCTGGAACCTTTTGAAAAGAAAATGGCCACAACGAGCAACAGGTCTGAAGGTTAAACAAACAACCTAGAAACCACGACAAAGAAAATAACCCCGGGCTTACCTCAGCGGGTACATATTGATCCACAGCAGTTGCCACAGTAGCACAGCAGATCCAGATCAGGACCGACACAGACAGAATTAAAGTAGTTGTTAGGATCCACCCAGGCAGCCAGGGGTTCCTGTGGAGAAAATCACAGTTGGTCTGTGTAGCTCCGCAGCACGTGGAACCATGGTGTTACTAAAGTTGCTTAGGCAACAGAAATGTGCAAACCTCGACAGGCAGCTGAAAAGATTGTAGCCGTCGTCATAGCTGCGTTCACCACTCAGCTCTCTGTCTCTTTCTTGGATTAAAGTCCGATGGTATTCTTTGTAAATAGGGTTGCTCAGCCGGGGGACTTTAAAAGAAAGAAAGAAAAAAAAAAAAGGAGAATTACAAAAATAAGGGATGCACCTTTATGTTTTATCTTTACAGTTCCTTTGCTGCATTTCTAGATCACGGTTGCTTTCCAGGCAGATTCTCAAGTTTTAAAATAATCCAGATATTTTACATGAAATTGAGGTCAAGGACATTAGAACGAGATTTTAAGATGCTCTGTGTAAGCTTGCTAAATATTGTCTTGTTGTATCAAAAGATTAATAAGAAGAATCTGATAAAAGATGTAGCCATTTGATGAAATGAGGCTGGTTGAGATGTGAAACAACATCCAAAACCTGAGAATGCTGCATCAGCTGTTTAAAACTGATTTAAACAGCTGATGACTGAGTGGGGGACCTGGGGGAGGACTTAAAATTTGCAATAACCTTTTGTACTGTATTTTGCAATAAGAAGAAAATGTACAAAAAAAAAACACTCTTGTAGTGTTGACTATAAGTTTTTCACTACAAACTAGAAACGTTTTTTTAAACATTTGTTGATTGACTCAGTAGAAAAAAAATCTTTAAATAGCAAAAAGCTGTAATTCTACCTATTCTGTCAGCTGAATTTTAGACAGAGTTAAGGAAGAAAAAATGATCACAAACTGGTGTTGGAATGGGAAAAGCAGCCTAAATGTTAAGCTCAGCGTGGCCCAGAATTCAACTATTAAACTATAGATTATGCTTCAGTAATAGGTCTGTGTCAGGATAACAAACATTTAGCAAGATTCAAAACTGGACACAAAATGTTTGACATTCATGTGGCAGGTGGATGCACGATAATGTTGAGCTGTGCTATATGCCAGAACGTTTTGCATTTGTTCTTAATTGAAGACCGCTGCATAAAAAGAATAAGATTTGATGTGCTTACGGCTTTTCTGGGGCTCCTCCTTTGAATCTTTGTCCAGTTCAATTTGGGAGAAAATCCTAATCTGTGGTTCAGACTGGGAAGCAGAGGAGATAACTGGATTTTTTTAAATCTGTTGCATATAATGACCTACCACTGTCAGGCTTATTAGAACTAATTAGAGCAATACCTGGAAAATAACAACTTTTCCATCATCAGCTTGAAGGTAGAACGTCCAGGTGGAAGTGATGAAGCTGTGGGCTTGACTCATTACATCATCCCAAAATCCTCTGACCAAAGTGAGGGGATACAGAAGATGAATCCTAGGCATCATGGCCTCCAACTGTTCAGAAAACAACAGAGACACTAAGGATGCCATTATTTCTTGAGAGAAATTCTGCATTGATTCAACTCCCGGTATACCTGGTCCTGACGCTGCTCAGCAAAGGGAAGCTGATTGTGACAGCCCATGTTGCACGCATACTGCTCATCAGGCTGGGTGTAGGCTTCCCGACAGGCTGCATGAGTTTGGAGTAACAGACAGCAAGACAGGTTTAGAAGACTACAACAAAATGTATCAAGAGAAAGGTTTTATTGTTTAATTGTTATGCAAGGTGCCTGCTCATATTTCATGTCATTTAATATGATGGGAGAATCACACACAAGTAGTGCATCATAGTGAAGTGGAAGTTTTTATTTAAAAAAAAAAAAAATCTTAAAGTGAGGTATTTAATATGTTTTATGAAACTAAGTATCCATTTAGTTTCGTTTCACACTTATGCACTACTTCATGTAGGTCTAACTCATAAAATCCCAATAAAAACACATTAAAGTTTGTATTTTCAACGTGAAAACAAGAGGGGTGGGAGTACCGAGTATGTACAGTCAATTACGCTTACACAATGACTAAACTTATTTTTACACCAGAAAACTACTCAAATGCGACTAGAGATTATTCTAGATCAACCTTGTGTGTGTCAGGTGGAGCTTTATTTAGCGTCAGGTGGAGCTTTACATTTAGTGTTGAACAGTCTGACGATCCTGAACGTTGTAGGTGGAAGATGATAGATTGCATACACTTACTTGATTCACATTCGGTTCTGGTCTGATTTAAATCGTCGCTGTCACGGACAAAATGACAAATGGAGAACAGACGACAGCCTCGTTGGCAGGCGTACAGTTCCTCCTCCTGAAAGCACAAAAACAAACCCGAAGGACCAGTTGAATACCTCTGCGAAAAATGACGCACTTTTCGACGATTTCTATACAACAATGCATCAAATAATAGAACTGCACTCAAATAAGTAAACCTAAATGATCTCCTCTAGCTAAATTGCATAACGTTAGCGCAAGCTAGCTGACATAAGCAAGATAAAAGCACTCACCCGTGGATACGTGTGCAAACTGTATGTCATTCCGCAGGACTTGTGGCAGGACGCTGTGCTTCCCAGAACGCTGTCAAACACGTCTGAAGACGCCAATGTGCAAGCAAGTAGGACATTAAGTCCCAAAATACTACCAACGAAAGAAAAGGTTCCCATTTTGCCTGTGAAAACCCAAACAAACAACTCCACTCCTCTTCCCCGTCCACCCTAAGCGGAACTGTAAATCTCGCGAGATTTTTAGCGTTAAGGTTGCGTTTACGGACTCATAAATAAGTGTTCATATTTTTAAAAGTGGTAATTTATACCCAATTTCTACCTAGAGATGTAATGTGAAATGTTTTAAAATGTTATTTTATGTCATTTTATTTTCTGTTACGTTTTATCTCATATATATTTGAAATTTTTTCAAAAATATATTTTCCTATTGCCATTTTTAAAGTCACATCTTATTTTTAACATTTAAACTAACCTGGATATTGTATGAGTGCACCTACAAATGTTATTCTTTTCTTTAGTTATGTTTACTTGACAGTCATTTCATCATTTTATACTAGTTGATTATTTCAACCTAGAGACATTTTTCCCCTAAATACCTGAAGGCAACATAATTTTTGCTACAAACAGGCTTCCGTCGGTAATTCAATATCATTATTGAAACTATTTTTTACTATTTTCTCACACGTAAACATGGTTAGAGAGTGCAAACAAATGGCATGATCAAATGTATAAAATCTCTCTTTAATATTAATTGCAAATTATTTAACGAGAACATTGTTTTTATCTAGCAAACTGTATCCGTTAGCAGTGGTTAGCTTACTTCAGCTAACGCTAACAAGCTGTAGCTGAAGAAATATACTTTTATTTGAAGATGGACAAGTTTGTCGTTCGGCTTCCCAAGGGAGAAACACCCAAACAACCGAAGAGCGGCGAGAGAGTTTACAGACAAGCTACAATTGAGTCTCTACGGGTGAGATATTAAGCATAGTGTGAATAAAAACAACATACGTTTCTACATTTAAAACTAATGATAGACTATTCATAATGTTTCTTCAAGAGGGTAGTTGTGATTGAGGACATCCTACGTTATAAGTCGACGCTAGAACTGCCAGATCAGAGCAAGGAGAACCTGATGAACGCCCTGACTGAGCTGAGCAAGAAGATCCCATCCAAAGAAGTGCTCAGGTCCACTAAAATAGGTACACACAGGAGAAACCTTTAAATCATCATTTTCTGCTCTTTGCTGGTTTGATATACCACACAGAAGAGATCTGTTATTAAACGGTCAAAATAAAAACAAGATAATTAATTTTGGCCCTAAAATACTGGCCATTTTCTATTACTATATTAAGAAATACAGCCCAAAGTTATGCAGTCATAGTTGATTTAAAACAACAACATAAGTAATCCATCTAATGTGTTTGGCCAAATCTGGCAGCCTAAGCAGAAAAGGCCAGACTTTCCTCTCTCCAAGGCGTTCCCAGTCCAGCTGAGAAACGAATAATCCCACCAGCGACTCATGGGTCCTTCTCTGAGGATCCTGGGAATCATGCAGACTCATTGCAGAAAGATCCCAGAAAGGGATTTGAGCACTCTTGCTGCAAGCTGACAATGCTACTAACTGCTACTAACCATTTTGACCACCGAGGATACTTTTTCTTTATTGCTTGAAAGAAACAATAAAGGAAAAATAATCTAGTGTGGTAATTACGGTTAAAAACTTTGATTAATTGCCAATTATTTTTGTGTTTACTCAGCTTGTCTGATATTTAAAGTTGTTTAAGGATATGAAACATTTAAGTACGATGAAAAACTAAAATCAGAAGATATCTGTAGAGGTTAAAATATGTTTGTGCTGCACTTTTAGCAGATTTACCATACGTCTTCATTTTGGACATAGTTCAAAACTCAGTCTTAAATATTACTTACTCTTTATTGTTGAAAGTCCAGTTTGTCACAAGCTTATTGCGTACTAACCTGAGGCTAAATTAATCCTTCTGGTTTTTTTTTTTTTTTTCCTAGGTCACACTGTCGACAAAGTACGGAAGCATCCAGACCCTGAAGTGAGTTCTCTGGCAGCAAAAGTTTACACTGACTGGAGGACTTTCATTGAGGAGAATTCAAATAAGCCGTCTATTGAAGTGCGCTCTGACAAACAGTCTGAAGGGCTCAGGAGCAACGCTCGGAGACTACTGTCTGAAGCACTGGAGGTCAAGGTGAGAAACAGGACAAAGAACTTTAATGGCATTTCACACATTTACCATCTTTTCGGGTCTTCTTCAGGACTCCAAATCCATAAAGAAATTAGATTTTTATCACTAAACTGCACAAATTATGTGCATTCTATTAAATAATTGTGAATTTGTTGATATTTATTGATCCTTCCATGGAATAAATGGTGGAGTAAAACATGTAAATTGCAATTTTGACAAAACAGACAACTTTAAGTGGATTTCAGACATAATAATTTGGATTTATTATGATCATTAAGTGATAAATACAGGTCAGAATAAGAAATCTTTCACAATAACAATAAAAAATAGGATAGATTTTAATCCTTAAAGGTGTCTTGTTTATTTTACTATAGTTAATCTCTTCTTGGAGATTTAGTAGCAACAAGTGAGACTCTCACCAAATTCTGTACTTGTTAGTTGAAATTGTAACAAAACTAAGCTATTTGTTAAAATCAGGTTTGTTGGTTTCATATTCTGTGGTCATCGTCTTTTTATTATTTGCTGGTTTATTTCCTAACACTTTGGTAATTTTCTATTTCATTCCTACAGATTGTTGAACTAACTGAATTGAAAAGTATTTTTTGTCTGTTGGTCTGTATGTGATACAGGAGGACTCTGGTCTGATAGACAACATAGAGAGAGAAGTTTTCCACCAGAGCTCCCGGTTAGTCAGCAGCTCATACAGACGGACAGTCAGGGCGCTGGTGTTCGCCTTCAAACACAACCCTGACGTCAGGAGTGAAGTAAAGGACGGCAAAATATCAGTCAGCCAGCTGGTTTCGAAATACAAAAAATAAGTGACTGCAAGACGGACGGTGACTCTGACCTATTATGGAAGAGATTTTAATGCCTGTGAATTTTTTTAAATTTTATTTTTAGTCTTTCATTGTGTTCTCTGTTGGCTGGGAAAATGCAGAATATTTTTGTACTTTGAGGCACGCCAGTAAATGTACGCTGTTTTATGAGTAAATGCTTTAATTTTAATATGACAAGCATATCTCCACTTTCACAATACTGTACCATATGTCATTAATTTTGTTTTAAAACCGAATGAAAAAAATGTCAATTAAATACAAAATTTATTGATGACATTTTTTATTGTAAACATACATGTTTCATAATTTTTTTTAGTGTTGCCTTAGAGGTTTTTTACAGTAAAGGTTCATTCACCAATTATTTAGCACAGCTCAAATGTAGTCCTTGACGGCTATCCTGCAACTTTTAGATACATCTCTTCTCAAACACACTTGAATGGCTCAGTAAGGGGCATATGCAGATCAGAATAACTGAATATGAGGGACTTCAGTCATTTGAGTCAGGTGTGAGAAAGAATGCATCTTAAAGTTGCAGGATAGTAGCTCTGGACCTGGTCACCGCTGGTGCAGCTCATTAACAGCGCTACAACGATACTTCTGGAAGATAAATTGTATCTAACACTATTGACCCTTTATATGAGTTCAATAAGTTTCCCAAAGACACTTTATCATGACAAGTGGAGAAGAACAGATCAAACTTCTTTGTGGATTCACCTCTTGTCAGTTCAACTTTGTCTGAAAATTAAAACTCTTAAAAACAAGCAGAAAAAACCCAACCCCACTGTGGCTCAAACACACACACAGCCCTGTTAAAATACGGTGTAAAAATAGGACTGTAATAAATAATTACAGAATATATCATTTTCTAACATGATATATTCTGTGCCATTCCGGTGGAAAAACAAATTTATCAGAGGGGAAAACACACACAAAAGCTGGTTGCATAAATGCCCTTTAACCAGTAGTTTTTGCTAAGCCACCGTTTGATTTAGTTTCAGCATTTAATCTTGAGTTCAGTTGGTTTGCAAGACCTTAGTATGAAAATTTACAATCTCCTCAAACCTTGTGTAAGAATGTGTCAAATCAAAGTTTGAACCTGAACTTTTGTAAAAGCCCGACTGGGCAGGATCTCTGTGATTCACTGTACCAGAATAATTAAAAAGTAGTTAGTAAAATGTCTTCTCACATTTTTGGGGGGTTATTATTACAATGTCTTGAACATGTCACTTGTAGAAAATGCAAAACAGACCATGTTTTATATTGTATTTAATAGCAAAACATTTTCATAAAACCTTACAAAAACAAAAATAAACTAAAAACAGCATATTTTCATCTCCCAAAGTACTCCTACAGAACCATCTTAGGTTTTTCAATGTCTAAGTCAGAAAGTAGCTAGAAAAATTTTCTTAAGAGTTATCACTTTGCTAAAAAAAAATTTATACACCACCACATTTCACAAATTAACTAGTTAGCTTCTAGAAAGTCACATTAAATATTTGGTTGCCAAAGCACTTAAGTAGCATCCCCAGCACAACTTGAATCACATTCATTGATGCAAGATGGATAGAAAACCTTACATAGCTGGCAGTTCCTTCATGTACCTGAAAATCTATGTACAAAACAATCAAAAGTACAAAAAGTTAGAAGTTAAAATTTTTGTTAGTAGATCTTGGTTTATTATGACACATTCAGAAACGTTTACTGGTGCACATTTCTGTGCAAAGCATTGCAGGTAACATATAGCTGTATGTAGAGAGCAGTGTCAACATCATAAAGTTATGTTTTCTTTTCAATTTTGTATGTTTTTTTTTTTTGTATAAAAATTAATCGAGACTTAAGAACTTGTCGGTGATCTCTATGTAACTCACTAAAGAAGCACCAACCAAACAATCGCTATCACCATGAGGATGACAGCCAGAACACAGATGCTGATGAAGACAATATCACTCAAGTCATGAGGTTCTGCCTCTGGTTCTGCCACGTATCCGCTGTTGTCGCTTTCCGCCTGCTGGGCCTGCTCCTCCAGCCGTCGCTCCTCCGCAGAAATGATTGACACAGACGCGACCTTCCTTAAGGCGTCGCACTGCACCTTGTATTCCTGCACGTTCTGCTGCTTCCCATCAGAGAAATCAATGTAGAGCTTGTTCACCAGCATGGTGATGTTGCGGTGTTTCTGTAAAGGATTATCAGTCACAAAATGGGTACAAAATAAGTTTAGTCATATTTTATCAGCTGCATATTCTATAAATCTTGGCACTTGAATCCTTGGACATGATAGAAGCTTCATGTTATTCTACGTGTAGACATGACCTTGAAATAGTTTGGTCATTTATTTATAAAATATAGATTCATAGATTTTAGACATGAGTTACTTGTACTCTACCAACCATAGAATAAACTTATTATAATGGCAATCACTGTCCTGCAAATCCTTAACTTGGTCCACATGCTAAAAGGTGCCTCGTGGGAATGTGGAGAGTAGAATTTGCGGGGCGGGGCAGTGCTTGAAATAACTGCTTGCAGTTGTTATTTTTTTAAGTCTGATTTTAAATCTACAACACTAAAACTAAAATATTTAACCATTTTTTTTAATATTCCACTTCCTTTTTTTTTTTTTTTGTACAGATCTTTGTAAAAGCAAATTATTTTTTAAACAAGAAATCATTTCATGATGTTATAGAGTATGGGAGCCAGTTACCTGGCTGGCTGTACCACAGTTGACAAACTGGGCCAGTATTTTATATGAGGTGGTTGTCAGCTGAGCTGTGCATGTCGGGTTTCCAAGGTAGATGCTCTCTCGGTCCAGCTGAGGGAGCGACCGTTGAGGAATCAGGATGGTAAACTCTGATCTGGTGCAGCTAACGTTCACCGGCACCACTGAGGAAAACATATTCAAGCATTTCGTGAGCAGAATAGGAACGACACGGAGCAGAGCTGTATGCTGGGATGAATGTTTAGAATTTAAAGAGCAAATTTAGTTGGGATTAATACTGCAAACAGTGTACTCAGTGGGGAGTACATATCTTTAACCTGCAGTCCCCACAGGATACACTCAATTAATAGTCCCATTAGCTCCTGATAAAAGACAAACACAAACACATTTACCTCCTAGATAAGAAGCGGTGAACCCTCTGTGAGCTTCGTTTCTGTCTGTGCTGAGGACAACCAGCAGCTTGTTCCCCTTGGAAACGAGGGAAGAAGGCTTCTCCCTGCCGCACCAGCGCCCCATCAGCGTGTCTGCCTGGCTGTCCCCGTCATACACCGACACCGAGTCGTAGTCGCACTCGTCTGACAGACTGTTGCGGCCCTCCAGGTCCATGACAGGAAAGAAGAGCTTGATGCGGTACCCAGCTTCCAGGGTGATGCTCCAATGGCAGTTGATGTTGTTCGGGTAGATGTTGGGGAAATGTGGGCTGCTGAAGTTGCCGCTCACAGCCGATAGAACTTGTTGGCATTCACCTATTTGAAGTGAATGTCAGTAGTTAGCCATCTTCATTAAGGTTTCTGTTCTGTGTTTACTTTACTACTTCTTTTCAAGGGTGCTATTTAAAGCAGTCTTAAAATTAAAAGCTAAAGTTTATAGCAGGTAATTGAAGTTTATGAGGACTCCCTTTAAGTTTATAGGTTTCCAGTTTTGGGAATCTGACTCATTTGTTTACTTGCATTGCACAAACGTAATGAGTAGGTTATGCATTCTAAAGTTTAACTCGTCCATACAAAATCTAGCAGCAAGTAGTTAAAGCTCAAGTGGTAAAAAGCTGGAGATTGATGTAAGGTTATATCTGCATCGCAGCTCAACCATAATCTTTCATGTAGTTTAGCTACTGATGGAACACAGTACAGATATCGATCTGGTATCGATCAAAAACTCATAGCTGCAATTGAGACAAAAAATGAAATATTTAAGTCAGACGTAACATTTGTGCACATTGTCCATGCCTTTAGATTTACACTCAACAAAGTCACACTCACACGTTTTCCAGTCTGGACTTTGACTGGACCACTAATGGGTTTTCACATTGCTGCAGAATGTGAAAAGCCTTTGATTCAATTCAAAGGATTCGATTTGAATCATCTTGTTAGTCCTTCAAGTGACTTGTTTTAGACATTCAGCTTCATCAATGAGCTTTTTTTAATTCAATGTTTTCCTTATTTTCCACTCTATTGACAGTTAGTCTAGGAAATGTTCTTACCTGAGTAATAGTAAGCCTTGAAGCCTCGCCCACCAATGTTGAAATCCGACTTGAAGACTACCAGGAGTTGGTTAGCAGTAGTGACTGTGTTGAGGGGTTTATCTGTCCCGCAGTATTTGCCGAGATGGCGGTGGGTGACTGTTGGCCCATCGAACAGGGCAACAAAGTCAAAGTTACATCCCTCGTTGTTCTCCAGCTGGAAGTCCAGGAAGACCAAGGTGACAACACTTGTATTTGACATGTGGATTGTCCAGGAGCAGTCTGCATTGTTGCTGTACTCCTGAGGGTAGCCTGGGCTGGAAATTACACCGGATAGTCCAGTCAACACTCCACCACACATGTCTAGTGAGGACAGGAGGCAAAAAGGGAAAAAAACTGTTAAATGGTAAGAAAAATGCCTTTAACCAGAAACCATCACTCAATGTGGATCATGTCATCAAACATCTCCCTTATTTATGTACCTAAGCAAGAATTTGGGAGATTTATACGACAGTGACCCAAAGCCCACAGCCAAGCTCACAAACACTGGCATCAGGAGCCGTCAGCAAATATCTCTGAGCAGCCCAGTCAGAGGATGGACTTTCATCTAATTGAACATCGCTGTAAAGACCAAGTCCTTTTTACTGACTCTTTACATTAAGTCTGCCTGAGCCAGAGAGCATCTCCAGAGAAAAACAGCAGAAAATGCCCCAAACAATGGGCCAAGTTTGTAGAGGGAGGCATATAAAAGACTCGAGGTAGTGATTGCTGCTGAAGGTGCTCAGACAAGTGTAGAGTAAAGGCTGCGAATGCTTATATAGTACACAGTATTTGCGGTTTTCTTTTTTAATTTTCAATAAAATTGCACCAGTTTCAACTTTTTTCACTTTGTTGCTATAATCCACTGAAGGGTATAAAACTGTAATGCTGAAAAACTAAGGCACGGTGAATACTGTCTGGAAATGCAAATTAATTCTAATTGCTATTTTTTTTATTCTGCATTTCTCCTTACCTTCTCAGATTTTACCTGTGTGGAGGTAAAATTCCCCTTATCTATAGTTAAAGCCTTCACTTCACTACACTCTTACACTGATCAAACATTGTAAAAAAAAGAAAAAAAAAATGGTTACTTGTTGAAATGTGAAGCACATCTTTTAAAATGCTGTTGTAATCTGAGAAAGATCAAAGAACCATTGAAGCACCTCAGGCATATTTCAAAGGCAAAAGATGTCTAATGTCCAAAGTTGAAAGTTGTGCTTGACCGCTTGCTGATCCATTTTGGCGAGCAATAAACAAACGTCAGTTCTCCATTGTTTACTTTTGCTTTTCTCGGTCTGGTCAAATATCTTAGGCCCTCAAAAATCTCAGGATCTGATTTAAGTCTAAACTTTAACCTTTCCAAAAACATTTATGTTGATTTTTTTGCTAAGTACATTAGATTGGATTAAATTCTTTAAAACATACAATGATCACATTGGCAGTATGGGATCATTGCCCTGTTGGATGATTATGTGCTGTCAATCCTCCAGTTGTCTACTACCTGGCTGATGTTTTTCTCCAGAATTGTCATTCTCTTTTCATATGGTTCTTTT